TTTGGGCTGGTGTCGGGCTTCGCAGGGGGAGAGGGGAAGAAATGCTTATTTATCTGCTTTACACAGTATTTTCATTTAGAAAGCATTTTGGTTCCTGTCAGGGAAGGTTAAGGCTGGTTGCCAGAAACACCAAACCTTTTCCCTCCCTAGTGGAGGATTAATGCTCTCTCTAAACAGTTAAAAAAAAAAAAAGTATATTTTTTTCTTCAAAGGGATCTTGTCTGCAGTTCTTCAGATGAGACTTTTCCTCTGGTAGTAAGCTGGTCTTTTAGAGATGAGATGTTCAGACTGCTGGGCAGGACCCACTAATGGGTCATAAAATCTAATTAAGGGCTTTGCTGTCCCCATTTTTTTAGATTAGAGCAGGGTAGAAGATGCCAGAGTCCACTGTACATAACAAGAGTACAACTTGGTATTTTTCAGTTTCACATATGGATGTGTGGGTGTTTACTGGATCACGGTGTACTGCATCACTCTTAACTATATTTTATAATAGTCAAAAAAATGGGTAAAGCCATTATCTTAAAATTATCTTTGGCTCAACAAAGGCTAGGTCTTGTTGCAGAATCTTGGCCATTCTTTACAAAAATATCACACGCTAACTGAACATGTATGAATAAGCTCTAAAAAGTAACCATTTCAAATAAGTTTTTAACCTAGTCTTTTTTTTTTTTTTAATTTCTATTTGGTCATTCGTTTTCGAAAACAACAGATTTAATATAAAATAAAAGTGTGTCCTGATTTAATATAACAGTTTTCCCCAATTTACATCTCTCACAAACCTCTCTGCATGACTTTTGCCCAGTCTGGGAACCACTTGTGTTTTCTATTTCATACTTTTTTTAAAAATCAACTCAAATTTTAAATCTACATTTAATATGTATGAAATTGTTCATTTATGTATGGGTTAGTTATCTTTTTCTCATAGGTAATGAAATAAGCATAAAATTTTTAAAAGTTAAAAATAGTCATCCTTGTGCCATTCAAGGTAACTTACCTCTTTCTTGGCCCAGATACCGCTGTTTGGCGAATAGGATGTCCAGAACATTCTTTTATGCATTTCCCCACTCCGTTTTAGCTTCCTTTGCTCTAACAAAGGTTCATATACATAAGAAAAGAAACAAGAACTGTTAGTTATTAGGGAGAGAATTGCAGTTTAATTTTAAGAAACTCACCCCACCCTCCTTCCCCCAGGCTTGTTTTCTTAGGACTCCAGAATTTCTGAAATCACAAGGGAGATTTCTCCAAGGTTGACTATACCTTGACCCAGCCAGCTTTCTCCATCTGTTAGTAAACATTATCTAAGACAACTGCGGAGAGCAAATATTTGAAAATTAAGAAACACACTGAATGTTACTGCACAGGGTAAAGATAAAACCCACTGAGTGAGGGCTGAGCCAATGCGGCCCCACAGTACAAAACTGGCCTTGGCTCAGCCTCTTAGGTCCTCTCAGAAACTCTATGAGATCTCAATAGGAGCAGAGCTGGAAGGACTGGAGCAATAGCACCCTATTTTTTTTTTTACAGGTGGGGTGACTGATGTCCAACAAAGCAAAATGGCCTATCTAGGATGCCACCCTCAGTGGGTGACAAAGTGTGAGGCTTGCCTCTTTTGCATTTATCTCATTTCTTAGAAGCCTTGTGAGGAAAGCCTTAATGCCAAGAGTTGGAGGACCCTGGTATTAGAAATGGATTCTTTCCAAAGAAAGAATAGGCCCTCAACAGCCACTCAGTCAAGATCTAGAATCGCTGATCTGATACAAATGACAGAAATGTATCCAGTTGCCATAGACAAGCCCACTCGTTACCTTATGCCCACTTTGCTATATGAGGGACATGAGTCCAAAGTGTGGTTGACCTGGTCCTCAGATGTCCTGCTGCCCTGCATCCCTACTCAGAAGACTTCAGATCCAGATACTTAAGTCCAAAATCACCTACAGGTCTACCTTTCATAGCTGTAATGACTAGCTCTCAAGTGTCCCTGTGGTTCTGTAACCAGGGGAGCCCAGGCTAAACAACAAGGAGAAATTCTGAAGCTCCAGGAAGGTTTTTCAAACTTCTAGGGAATTAGGGGAGCCACCTCTAGTTCCCAGAGTTCCCATAGCACCAAAGGTAGCCCTCCACCAGTCTTTTCCTTGTTTCTCTGGCACCTTTTGAGGTCTGTTACATCCCTAACCCATGAGTTTCTAGAGGGCACAAGCCATATTGGCCATTGAGTTTGGCCATTTCATGCAGACATGCCAGGTGTCTGTTGTTTTTTTTGTTTGTTTGTTTTGTTTTTTCTGGGTTAGTTGTTAGCCACTTAGTTGTTGGTTAATTTCTAGTTGTGATTGTTAGTGTTAAAAATGCATACAAATGAGGGGCTGGGGATGTGGCTCAAGCGGTAGCGCACTCGCCTGGCATGTGTGCGGCCCGGGTTCGATCCTCAGCACCACATACAAACAAAAGATGTTGTGTCCGCCGAAAACTAAAAAATAAATATTAAAATTCAGTGTCACACAGATCCAGGTACACATGGGGATTATGCCTGGAAAGAGGGATGTATCTCTGAATGTGAACTTGTAGGTCCTGCAAGGATAGTGCTGCAACCTGTCCCTAAGTTCTCCTTACTTTTCTTTAGCACTTACTTTCCTATAAATGATATGATTAATTAATTGTTACTTGTTCCTTTTGCTGAAATGTAAACTCCATGAAGGCAGACGTCTTTGTTTTATCACAGGTGTATCCCAAGAAACAGTACCTGATGCATCAGATGCTTGATGAGTGAGTGGATATTGGTATATTGAATGAATGGATGATGATCCTGGGTAAAGGTTAAAGGCAGTTTTCCTAAGAGAAGTGGTACTCAGGACTGGAGGGTCACTTTTTATATTAGTCAGAGAACCTCCTCTGTGGTACAGGCTGCTTCCTGTTAGGTGGCAGGGCTAGTCTGTGCCCTACCATGGATATCTTCAACACACATAGCAAGAAGAACAAGTGGGGGCCCAACAGTGACTGTTGAAGTGACTGTTGTTTATACATACTCTTCATCAAAGGAGACAGCAGTGAAGCTGTCCCTAAGAGTCAGGAGAAGTGGGTTCAAATCTCAGAGGAGAAGTGGGTTCAAATCTCAGATCTGTGCATTTCTAGCTGGACGACTTAAAGTCACTCAATAGCCCTACTTAATCTCAATTCCCCCTTATAAAATCGAAGCTGTATTCCCCTCTTCATAATGCACCGAATACTGTGCCTCCTGATACCCATGAGGCCCCCATGGGGAGCATCAAGCCTGTGGAGACCCTCTGACAGGCCAGCAGTGTGGGTGGGTTCCCCGAGTCTATTTCCAAGCAGTCTCTGGCTCTCCCCAGGAAAAGATCCAACAACGCCTGAGTTTTGTTAGGGAGGATTGTGCAGCACCCTCCCCTCCAAACCCAAATCCTCAGTAAGTCAGGAAGATGTATGTGTTTTAAAACATTGGGAGGTCTGCTTTGGATCACCCCGAGCTGCGGCTTCCCTGTACTGGCGAGGGTGAAGGGAGGCAGCTCCTCCGCCCCGAGCAGCTCACGCCCCACACGGGGCTGCTCCACTCAGCCTCAGCGGCCGTTGACTTTTAAATCATAAAAAGCCATCTATATACAGTTTACTCTGTTGCTAGAAGGCAGCGGATCGTAGGTATTAGGAAAGCGGGGGGAAAAAAACAGCAGAAGCAGCAGCCGTTGATCCCGCCAGGCTGCTGGGCACTGGAGGAGTTGTGGATGACAAAACTTAATTAGAAACATGAGCAGTTTAACTGAAAACACTTGTGACAATTGGAAGGGCAGCTTCTCTGGTTGGAAACTTTTTCCTAGGGAATCGTTGTGGGAGAGAGTGGCTGCTGCTAGGTAAGTCCTGTCATTGTGACTTTACAGATGCATATGCATTCTTCAGGGGCTGAAGGGACACATCCTGTCTGCTCTGCATGGTGGGTCCTGGGGTATGAGAGCACTGGGCCCTGCCCAGGATGCCCTCCATGTCCCCCTCTGCTTTCCCCATCAGCTGCCTTATCAGGGAGACAGAGCTGCATTATCCAGTGCTGCCTGAAGAAGAGGGCTGCAGTACTCATTTCTGTGGCCACCAGGCCACCTCGGTGGCTAGCAGAACTGCCTGTTGGAGTCTATACTTCCCAGAATAATTCTGGCCCTTGTTTGGAGATATTTTGAGGAATTTCTGAGAAAAGCTTCTGGCCAGGGAAGCACTCACTGAGCGCCAGGGGGAAGCCTTGACTTTCAGATGACCTGTATGTTTTCTTGCCTTCAGGGAAACCATGTGCATAGATTGTGCTCTTAAAGCAAAAAAAAAAAAAAAAAATTTTTTTTTTTTTTTTTCAATGTTTAACGTGAATCATGTCTGTGACTCTTAAAAAACTTCCATGCTTTGATAGGATTTAACAACTTTTGAGGATAATCATTCTTCTCTAATGATTCTTCCCAGTTTCTCCTTCCTTTCTAGGTTGTGTGTGTGTTTTATTTTAATGTCTCTGCTACATTGTTTCCTTAAAAGTTACTAATAATTAATACTTCTTGATTCTTTTGCATAACTGGTAAAATGGAACTATAGGTTGAATAATTCAAAGTTGTGAATATTTCCTGCAGGTTTCTTACATCACTGTGGTGGTTGATGTTGGTAAGGGTTTTTGCTTTTGCGTTTGTTTTTTGTTTTTTGGGGTTTTTTTTTGGTAGATTTATATTCTTAATTATGCTCTTTGCATGTTACTGTGAAGATTGGTCTGCATTCGCACAGTGCTTGGCATCAAAATGTGATGGGGTGTAGGGAGGGGAGGCGTGGACTATGCTTGGTGGAGAATAGGAGAAAGTTGAGCTAGGATTTAGATGTTAACCACAGATAATCCACAAAGCAGGTAATGGAGCCGTACTGCATTTGGGTTGGGAGTGATTGGCTCTGCAGCCCTGGCCAGCCTTCCCATATCTCTGAAACAGGTCAGCAGATATGATTCAGGTCTCCCTCCCTTCCTGTCTCTGCAGAGCCATTGGCAAGCTCAGCCTCCTCCCACCCCGGAATGAGCGAAAATGCACCTGCTTCCTTGGAGAGCAGCAGCCCCTCCATCCCCGCTAATTGCAGCACTTCCTCAGCCATCCCCCAGCCCGGTGCGGCCTCCAAGCCCTGGCGCAGCAAGTCCCTGAGCGTAAAGCACAGTGCCACATCATCCATGCTCTCAGTGAAGCCTCCTGGGCCCGAGACCCCCAGGCCCACACCAGAAGCCATGAAACCAGCCCCCAACAACCAGAAGTCCATGCTGGAAAAGCTAAAACTTTTCAATAGTAAAGGGGGCTCCAAGGCAGGTGAGGGGCCAGGGTCCCGAGACACAAGCTGTGAGCGGCTGGAGATCCTACCCAGCTTCGAAGAGAGCGAAGAGCTGGAGGCTGCTGGCCGTGCCCTGTCCACTACGGGTTCCACATCCAGCAGCCCCAAGATTGCACTCAAGGGCATCGCCCAGCGGACTTTCAGCCGGGCACTGACCAACAAGAAGAGCTCTCCGAAAGGCAGTGAGAAAGAAAAGGAGAAACAGCAGCGGGAGAAGGAGAAGGAAAAAGGCAAGGACCTCACCAAGAGAGCCTCGGTGACGGACAGGCCAGACCTCAAGGAGGAGCCCAAGGAAGAGCCCAGTGGAACAGCTATGACCGAGATGCCAAAAAAGTCCTCCAAGATCGCCAGTTTCATCCCCAAAGGGGGGAAGCTCAGCAGTGCCAAGAAAGAAGCCACAGCCCCATCCCATAGTGGAATACCAAAACCAGGAATGAAGAGCATGCCCGGGAAGTCCCCAAGTGCCCCTGTGCCTCCCAAGGAAGGGGAGCGGAACCGGAGCAGCAAGCCAAGCTCTGGTCTCCCCCCACAGAAGCCCCAGTTAGATGGCAGACACTCCAGTTCCTCCTCCAGCCTGGCATCCTCAGAGGGAAAAGGCCCAGGAGGGGCCACTCTGAACCACAGCATCAGCAGCCAGACTGTCAGTGGATCCGTTGGGACCACCCAGACCACAGGAAGCAATACCGTCAGTGTCCAGCTACCTCAGCCACAGCAGCAATACAACCACCCCAACACTGCCACGGTTGCACCTTTCCTGTACAGGTAGGAACAGCACACGTTGCCTTCTTGGGCCACCAGGTAAAGAGCCTGGTTGGTGGATTCTTTGTCTGTGAGGGTGGGGTTGTGACTGCCCTCCAAGAACAAACAAGCACTAAGGTACCATGTGATTCAACCATATAGAGGCATGTACGGTGCACTGGAGGGGACAATTCCCATGGTGTGATTGGGGAAGGTCAGAGAAAGACTAAAGAGAAGTAAAATGTGAGCTGTTCCCAGCATGAGCAGGGAACAGGCTTTGGGGACCAAGGCATTTCAGGAGCAGCCACAGCATGAAGTCCTGAATGTGTAGGCTGGGCAGTTTGGTGTCACCCAGCATAAGCCATAATACATCCTACACAAACTTTAAAAGAAACCATGAAAACCACCTTGCTGAGCAATCGACATGACTTCTCATAGCAGTGTTGGTCTTGAACTTCCCAATCCTCTCAGTCCCTGTGTGTGCTAGGGCTTTTTGAGAGGGAGACTGAATAGAGGGGAGTAGTAAGGGAGGGACCAGTTCTAGAATAGGACCTGTGTTGACTGAGGGGATAAGCCTCCCAGCCCTGTCTCTGATGGTACATCCACAGGACCTCTGGGGGCCTTGGGCCAGGTGCTGCTCGCTCTGGGGTTCTGGCTGCTGAGTGCCCTGGGCTCCTGGTGTGCTGCACATCCATGAGCACTCTGGGTAGTGCAGCCTTTCAGCATTGCTCTTGAGGGAGCCCCAGAGCTTTTGCTCACTGCATTCAACTCAATGGTGTGCTGGAGACATGTAGTGACTTTGGCCACATCACCCAGCTGGGACAAGAATTAACACCTGTACATATCAAAAGGGGACTAGGGGTGGAATGTCATATTTTACCCTCTTATTTTACAGCTCTCACCCCAAGTGCATACACATAGGCAGCTCTATACACACTTATACGCCCATAGGAATGGAAACATAAAACTGTCACACTTGAGTATAGGCCCAAATGTACATTCACACATCAAATCTAAGTGCATATATGTGTGTACATATCTGTTCAGGTACATAGGCTCATGACCATACTTTCAGTATCCCACATCTGTATAATTCCCCAAAGAATTAGATATTCCCTCTTCCCTCCCAAATTGTGTTCTAGTAAGCTCTATTACATTTCCTGCCAATAGTAAAGCCAGCTGGCGCCCAGCCAATGAGGGATGTCAGGTTTCACCTGGCCCCTCCTTTGTTTTCTTCTGTTTGCCCTCCCCTTCAGTGAGGGTCACAAGGATCTTTTTAATTGGGATAAGGTTATTATTTTGTTAAATCAAGTCATCAGCTCTGCTAACACTGCTGAGAAAAGGGCCAAGGCTTAGATAATGGCTCAGCCAGCTGTATGCATGCAAAGAATAGCTCCCCATGAAAGTTTTATAATTCCAATAGCATTAATAGACTTGAAGCAATGCACAAAGTACTCTTCACAGATTCTTGGTTGGCATTCTCATAACTAGAATATATGGCAGTCTTTGATTACTGTCAATTCCACTTTTTATTTTGACTAATCACTTGCAAGATTATAAACCCTTTAACATTACTATTATTATTTCAAGTTTGTTTTGAGAAAAAAAATGCTCATAATGATTAAGAACAAATGTTTGTGAGAAAGGAAGGAAAAACTTCTGGGATGTGCCTCTGCCAGTCCTCTCTTAATGTGAATGCTCACTGGGTGAGGTCCTCTCCCCCTCTGAGGTTGTTCTTTAGGTGAGTCTGGGAAGAAGAGTACCTAGAGAGGAGTTGGGACACTGGGGGCCCTGTCCTTTCTCAGCTCCTGACACCCTCTGTGGTGTTGGGCCCTGGTTGCAGGAACAGCTATTGCATGTGCACTAAGAGTGTGCAAAGATCATGCTAAGGACCTTCAATGCCTTAGCTCACTGAATTTTTCCCCCAGCTCCATGAACTAGCTTACATCTCAAATCTCCTTACTACAGATGTACATGCAAACTGAAGCTTAGATGAGTTAAGTAACTTGTTACACATCACAGAGCTCAAAACTAGAAGAACTCATGTTTAAACCAGAGTCTAACTAGAGGAACCAGGCTCTTAGTCACCATATTTTCCTGATTCTCTAAGTCACCCGAGCTTCATTGTTTTCATCTGCAAAGGAAGGAGAGTGAACTAGATTAGAGGATTTTAAAAGTACTTTACATTCCCTTCCTGCTCTAAAATTCTCTCTCAAGTTTATGTGTGGCTCCTTGTATAACTTACAGGGCTCACCCCACCACCTTGCCAGTTAAAGATGTAACCAAAGAGGAAGGGAGGATAGATTGTTTTTAAAAACCACTCAAGATGAATTATGGTTATGACTTCAGAAATAACAATGAACACATCTGTCACTTTACTATGTGCTTTTGTGTCGTGTCATGTTTGATTTTTGTAGTAGTCAGGAAGATGGCTATTATGCCCCTCATGCAGACGAGGGCTCTGGGGTTCAGAAAAGGTGAAGTGACTTTCCAAATTTGCATGACTCCCAAGTTATAGACCCTAGACTTGAAGCTGCATGTTCAGATTGCAAGACTAACATTCCTTCCAATATTTAGCATCTTTATAAATTTGAAAATTTCTCATTTATCAATCAACATGCCCTTCTTGAGCACCTACTCAGTGCTCGGCGTTAGGAACTAAATTAACTGCATGCAAAGACTCTCCATCTAGTTGAGAAAAGATTTATTCAGTCACATTAAAACCAATAGGCGATAAGAGACTAAGGAGGGAGCCGTAGAAACACAGGGGTAAACACATCAGCTGGTAGAGTGGTAAGGCTTCCAGGCTGATATCCTGTAACTGCACCTTGAAGGCAAGGTAGGAGGGGACTTAAGGAAAAGCAAGAAGGGCCTAGAGGCCAAGGTCATAGTAATAACAGGGTATGATCGGGAATGGAAAGAAGGCGCCATGTGTGGAGCAGAGTTGGGCAAAAGGGGTGGGAGCAGTAGGAGACGGGGCTAGAAATAGAGAAGAGTCCCATGACATGGGGCATCATCCACCACAGATGACGGGAACCTTTGGAGGCCTTTATCAGAGGGTGACAGCATCACATCAGTACTATACATACCAGTGGAGGGTCATGTGGGAATAGAGCAGCCTTAGGAAGAGTCCAGAATGGAGGTCACTATCCAGATGCCTGCTTGGGTCCAAAAAGGGTGGGTCCCGGAGGGTGGGGCTATGGCAGAGGAAGCCCAAGTACCACATCTCTAGCAGGCACAGTTACTGTTTGTCACCAGCAGGTGGCACCCTGCAAGAACAAGGGCTCAGTCTCTCCAGACTTCCTTGATTTTACAGGGAGAAGGCAAATATCCAGATAATTTCTTGTGTGAAATATATAAATTTTTAAATAGTAAATTAATTTTGGAAACTTTAAATTCCCATGCATGCTAATAAGAATACGTGTGTGGGCTGGTCCCTACACCTGGCTGTTATTTGCAACCTCTGGACTAAAAACGGGGTACCTGTTTCAAGGTGCTTAAAGGACGTATGCAGAGATGAGGAGGGCTTGTCCTCTGAATGAGGAATAGAGAAGAGTACTGAGATTAAGAAAGCGCTGTAAAGCTGACGGTAACAGAAATCGGGATGACCTCAGTGGGAGGGTAAAGGGGGGGAAGAATAGGTGGGTGGTTTATCAGTCCATCTCCCATGGTCCATCTACATTCTTATCAAGCACTTTCTTGGGAATGTGATGTGTGTGTGTGTGGGGGGGGGGGGAATAGCTCAGTGTTAGTGTACAAGGTCCTGGGTTCAATTCCCAGCATCAAAAACAAAACAAACCAACAAAAAAGAACCCCTCTTTCCTCATAGGCAGTGAAATCTGGCTGAATCAGTCCAGGATGGTAATGAATTAATACTCACATTAATTACGCATCTGAGCACGATTATAACATTGCACGTCATGCCTGAATGAGCCCAGGTAGTTGTGGCAAGAAAGGGTTGCATGAAGCTGTTGCCTCAATTTGCTTGACAAATAAGGGCCTGGAGAAGGTTTGGGGAAGTACAGATTTCAGTCAAGTGTTGAAATTATGATCAATGAGACCTTTCATGTCAGAAGATCTGAGCTCTGAATCAGAGACCTGGAGGGCAAACACAGCTGCTTGGCATCCACTCCTGACTGGTTTTACAGTCACCTTTTCAGAGAGAACCATGTCAGGAGGATTGCCGGGGGGCGGGGAGAGGGGGCGTCAGTGGAGTCATCTTTATGCTTGACTTGCTGGTATTGCTGGTTACCTGGGAGTTGCTTTTTGGCATAGGTTAAATTATCCAAACCACCCAGCACCCTCCAGCGTTGTATTTGGCTAGACCTAGCTCCCTGAGGAGGGGTCAGAAAATCATTTCATAGTGAGGGATGACAGAATCTCTCCATTTGGGCAGTGGATATTTCATCTTTTCCAGTTCGGTGGCTCTCTCTGTTCTTAGGACATTGCTCCATGTGTGGCTAATGAATTATTTAGTGTCAGTCTGCTGATCTGCTCAGTTCTAAAACATCTTGCTGAAAGAGGTGATGGTGAATGCTGTGGTCAGCCAGATGTAGTATTTACCTCTCCTGACAAGTGTGTCTGTTCTGGTTTGTATGTGAAGGTCCCAGACGGACACCGAGGGGAATGTCACGGCCGAGTCCAGCCCAGCGGGTGTGAACACAGAGCCTAGTCACTACACCAAGAGTGGACAGCCTGCTCTGGAGGAACTGACTGGTAAGTGTGGAGCCCCAGAAATTCTGCATCTGTTGGTGATGGAGCTTCCAAAGCAGCAGCCTGTAGGAATCTTCTGGCTTACCTGATGGAATTGACTGAGGAGCTGAACAAACTTTCTTACCCTCCCAATTATTTTCCTTCTTTCCTTTTTTCCTTTTCTCCTCTCTTTCACAACCTCTCACTCCTCCCCAGAATTGTAAATGAGACTCATACTTGTTGGCAAGTTCTATTTTTAGGATACATTCAATGTCACTTAGGGGCTCAGGGCTACTCTGATACTTAACTATGTATCTCCATGTTTGCACTTCAGATAAAGTTGCTTTTCAACAAGATTTGGAATTCAAAAATTTTGAATTTTTTTCATTTCTTGTGGAGGTACAAATTACCATATGTTAGCATTTTCCATTAATTAGAAAGAAGATTTTAGCATGTTGCTTTTACCAAAAACATAAAATATCTCAAATTTTATTTAATTGTGAACAATTTTTATTATTTTAGGGATATTATATGATATAAAAACATAAAATACACTTGTTATGTAGTTAATTCCACAGCTTAATGTTAAAGTATCTCTTTTTTTTTTTTGGTACTGGGGTTTGAACACAGGGATGCTCTACCACCGAACTACATTCCCAGCTTTTTTTATGTTTTATTTTGAGACAGACCCTCTAAGTTGCCATGGCTGTCCTAGAACTTGCAATCCTCCTACCTCGGTCACTGAGTTTATAGGCCTGAACCACTGTGCCCGGCACATCACATTCTTAATATAAAGGAGAGAGGTCATATCTGGTTTTGATTTTTTTTCTTTCTTTTTGATGCTGGGGATTGAACCCAGGGCCTCTTGTGTGCTAATAAGCACATGCTGTACCACTGAACTACATCTCCAGCTCATGATTTAGAATTCTTACTATGGTATGTTCCAAGCCCACCTTGTCCGTCTCCCACCTTCTCCATTTCCCATCTTCTCCATCTTCCTCCTTTTTAGTCCCCCTTTCCTGTCCCTAAGCTTCATGCTCTGTACCAGTGGCTTCCCGTCAGGGCAGTGGTTGTATCGTTTATCTCCTATCTTGCCACTTCCAGAGTTGGGTTGAAAATTGAATCCATGTTTAAAATTCATTTATTATCCTTGACTATACCATTTTAATAGCCTCACTGCAGCTGTGGAATTGGTCTGCCAGCCCATGGGATTAAAGTTTACCCATCTGATCATTAGCTCTGAGTTTAACTATCCAGAGGCTCTGGGCGACCTAACCATTAACCATTCCCTTCTGAGTCCACTGGCTGGGTGTAGTGATGGTGCAGAGAGTCCTCAATGCATCTATAAGCAAGCTAGCTAATGGGTAAGGCCCCACATTCAGGATTGGTATTATGTCCTGTGCAAAGCTTATAGCTCCCTTACACATGAGCTCATGGATAGTATAGGAAAATGACCAGGGAGAGGCACATGAGGTTCAGATGATTGCTCAGGTCTCCATACACATTCCAGATCATGTTCTGTGTGCACACATCAAAAGAGCCAGGCGGGGATCAGTTATGTATCCCATGGAGTAGTGTGGGCTCCTGTCAGATATTGAGTCTCAGAAAAATCGGTATTTGAAAAGCAAAGCCAGTATCCAGAGAATATTCCAGATGTTTCTTAGGTTTCAGAGCAACATATTCAGCCTTGGCTCTTTCACCAATTTTCCTCCTCCTTCCGGTGTCTCCTGTACCACAAGACTGTGCAGCCAAGTCAGAACTCAGAAGCTTGACGTGTTGCCAGTGGTTGAGGCAGCAATTTGCACAGCCAGGTTTACCTGGTCATGTACTCTCTGGTGCTAAATGGAGCTGGCTGCTAGTGAAAATTCCTTTAGGCAGGGTGACTCATCTTTACATTTAAGCAGTAGAAAACACATGTGACTATAGTATGGATTTTTTTTTTTTTAATGGAGACACTGAGTGGCATAAGGTTGAACTTAATTTGTCCACAGGCCATCACTTGAAATTGGCACCAGGATAGGGGGTTCCTGAGGAAGTTCCCCAAAAGGAAGGTGGACTTCAACTCAGGCCATGAGGGTCCTTGCTATCATCATGGACAGGAGTTTAGGGATGGGTCAAAGTGAGACACAGATTGGGTTTATTGAGAAAAAGGAAGAAGTACACACTCTGGGAGACAGGATGGAGTGTGGGTGTGGGAGAGGAATGCACTAGCTACATTTCAGCTGGGCATATTTATACCTGTGGACTCTATAGTGCAGAGACGTGGTCTAAGAGGGTGTTTTCAGCCCTCCATTGTGTTGGTAACTGGACGTGTTAACCATTGCCTACCAGGGGCAATTATTTTCTTCTTTGTTTTTGATGAAAACTTGCTAATCATTTCTCCACCAGAGAAATTTATTGTTCTGCTTGTTGAATGTAGACAGTACCTCACTGTTGTAACACTGAGAGTTTGATGGCCCACTCGGTGTATAGATGAAGTCATCAGATCCTCGAGATAAAGAATACTAACTTGTTGAGCAAAGGCATTCTTAGACCTGCTTTTCTTCTAGGTCCAAGACAGGAAGCAAATTATTTATGGACCTGTAGATAAGGCCTAATGATTGACTTAACAGTGCTGTTTATGACCAGAGTTTGTGAAAATGACCTTTTAATCTGGACTTTGAACCCATATGAAAGTGGACTTTGGGTCTGGACTTTGAATCACCACTCTCATTTGTCCCACATGTCTCTTCTCTGCCCATCCTTATGTCTTCTGTTCTACCTCAAAATGACTGAGTGATGTTTTTACGAGCGCCTTTGACCAGTTGCTTAGCTCTTCCCCTTCTTGATGCATGGATGGGTCTTCCCATGGTGTGTCTCCATGGACATTGCATCACAATTGAAAAGTGCATCTTGGGTTGTGGAGTTAGAAGGCACCATATACACCTTAACATCCAGGACACGAGTCCTTCCTATAGCTTTCTGACAGGTTCTCTTTCAGCTTTGACTCAAATATTTTTTTGTGACACAAAGGTTCTTCCTCTCTCTCTTTTTTTTTTTTTAACCTAAAAAAAATGGAGGTTTTTATCCTTCTATTTCTCTTCCCTGGATATCATTCAACCTCCTGCAGCCCATAGACAGTTGCCATCATTTTCTATGCTGCAGCGTGCTCCTTATGCTCTTCCAGGTCAACATCCCAGGTTCCTTCATCTTCTTTTTCTAACACTGTGACATCCTACAAACTCGGTCATTAAGGGTCAGAACATGGGGCTCTCTCTGCAACAGTCTGTGGCTTGAGGGTGAGCTTTCTCTGAGCTGTGTGTAGACATGGCATAGCTAACTTAGTTTTTAAGCTCTCTCTAGGAGCTGAAAGGGTCCCACAATGTCCACAGAGCTTGGTTGTGTTTTAACTTTTGTTGTAAGTTGTGAGTTGGTGGGAAAGTCTTACTTTTCAGCTAGTATCTGAGGAGGCATAGTGGGCCACACAGGATGTGGTCTCCAAGGTACACCTCGTGGATCACTGTGTTTCTACCTGACCCTGGCCATCTGCCCTAGAGTGGGCCTCTGAGGGGAGCAAGCATCTCTGCAGGACCCCCAAGAGGGAAGTAGGACATGCACATTTGCTGAGCTCTCCTTTTACGGGGGGGTATATCATGTGTTCTGTGTTATCAGATTCTTGTACAAATCCCTTCTAGAGAAACGTGTTTTTAACTCCATTTTGCAGGTGAAATTGAAAGACTAAGTGCCTTGTTCAAGTTCAAGTGAGTAACAAAAACAGGGCCATGATTCACATCTTCATGGGAATGCAAAGCGCATGCTTTCTCTTCCTATGCTGACCAAGCATTTTTTAGGCAATAAATATTTCTTAGGCATCTATATATTTGCATGGGGATTACCAAAAGTAAAGGTGCACACACATCTCCAGCTCAGAGATCTTTGAATTCCTTCTTTCCTTTTTTCCTTCCTGTAGAATCCAGAGCCTCACACATGATAGATAGGCAAGTACCGAGCCCAAATCTTTGAATTTCTAAAGGAGAATTAAGACAAGCAACTATGTCATTAATCAAGGTGTGGGTAAGTAAGTATACTTCTTGGGTATTAATTACTGGACTTGATTTGAAAACTGTTGTCCCTAGACTTCCTAATAAATGTTCACTGTAGGGCCTAGACCTGTCCAAAGGATCAGTATCTTTTTGGTAGTTTTACACAGATATGATGTGGCCAAACTGGCAATAAGAGAGATTTAATTGGAGGCCCAGGAGATACATGCAATGATATTTGTTCAAGGCCACAAGGGGGTAAAATTGACCTTTACCACTGCCTTCTTTTAAAAACATATGTGTATATATATATATATGTGTGTGTGTGTGTGTGTGTGTGTGTGTGTGTGTGTGTGTGTTTGTGTGTGTGTGTGTGTGGTTTAAAGACTTGTGTGGGAAATCCGAGCACTGTTCAGATAAGAAAAAAATGCTTTTTCAATTCCTCTGGGTTAAAAGGGGGCAGATAATTGAAAACAGTTGCACTTTTAAGATTAGAGAGTTGACTGTAGTGAATTTCCTCCATAAAAGCCCAATGGCTGTCCTTTTCTCCATCCTCCAGACCCCCAGCACCATCATGCCGAGAACAACCTGAGGAAGTTGTTATTATCAGAAGAGAAGCCTAATTCTGCAGTATATCTTAGATGCCCTGTTGCCCTATTAGTGATTGTTACTGGAACTTCTACTTGGCATCTAATGAAAATCCCACTTGCTGCTGCCAACACATACTGTGTTCTGTAGGAGGAATTCTTTTAAAATGTTGCTCAACCCTTGAAAATAGTCATAGGCTTTGCAGGACCCTTGATTTTGGTTCCCCAGGCTTTTCAGCCCTCCCTGAAATTACTCTGAGGAGGAAAATGTTCGATCCCTTTAATCAGGATTATAGTTCTTCTCCTCTTCTCATCCCCTTGTGAGGCTGAATGCAACGGCGTAGCCAGAGAACCTGAAACAGGGCTGTGCTGAGAGGCACATCTCTTCCTAGCTTGTGGGTGGCGTGTTTCTTACGGCACGTTAGCGCGAGCCTGAACTCTGCTTGGCCAAGTGTCTCATGGAAATCTTTCCCAGAGAATGGAATTCTGTGGTTCTGCCAAAGAGAAGCCCAGCTGTTTCTTGGTGGCTCCCTGCTCTACATCACTAGCTGGATGTATTGGGCACTATGCAAAGGGACCTCAGGATCTTAGCCTGGTTTGCTTTCCCAGCTGCCCTATGCGGTCAGTACTATTACTATGCTCATTTTAGGAAGATGGAATCAGAAAGAAGGAGAAGACCAGCACCTTTCCCACAGCTAATCATGCAGCCAGTAAGCAGGGGAGGTAGAATCTGAGGTGCCACAGTCCATCTGACAAGGGAGAAAGCAAACCTGTCTGTAGAATCACTTGTGGTTAACAAGTGCAGGTCCTTGAGCCACTGTGAGCTCTTTTTGTAAAGCAGAGCTGGAAGACAGATGTGTATATCACCAATAGGTGAGAGAACAGTGCCACACACACTTTTGAAGGGCAGAAAATGACTGGGGAGTGCTCAGTCCTGACCTGTCTTCATTAGAAACCATGCGAAAGTACGTTTACATCTCCAACTAAGGCACTTTGCATTTTCCTCAAGTTGAACTTGATCGATTTCCAGAGGAAACTGGAGGAGGAATCTCCATGAATTTAACAGCCTCCTCTGGGCATCTGTTCAGTCAATCATCCACTTTCAAATCCTTATTTAGCACCAATAGCTGAAACCTGGCTATAGTCACAAATATATTTGCTTATTGTTTTCATGAACTTTACAGTCAATCAAAAAGTTACACTGCTTTTGCGCGGGTAGTACTAGGGATAACTCAGGAGTGCTTTACCACTGAGCTATAAAACCTCAGCCCTTTTTATTCTTTATTTTGCTAAGTTGATGAGGGCCTCACTAAGTTGCTGAGGCTGTCCTTGAACTTGTGATCCTCTTGCCTCCGCCTCCCGAGTTGCTGGGACGACAGGTGTGCACCACCAGGGCTAGCTAAAATTTAAACTAATCTTAACTTTCATCTTTCCAGGGGAAGATCCTGAGGCTCGGCGGCTGCGGACAGTGAAGAACATCGCTGACCTGCGGCAGAATTTGGAGGAAACCATGTCCAGTTTACGGGGAACTCAGGTTACACACAGGTATCTGCAGTGTGAGCTGGTTTGTGGAACTAGCTGGGAGGTTGATTTTCACTGCCATCTGAAAAGTGATTTAGTTAGTAGTGGAAGAAATAACCTGGCTCCCCAAATATGCTAGCAGAGAGAAGGCCAGACAACACACCGAAGAGAAGGAGAGGGAGCAAAAAGAGAGATTCCTCCTCCAAAGTGGAAGGTTATTAAATCCTTTCCGTGGAGGACACTGTGGAGCAGCTGTATTTCAACTTCTCTTTACTCACATTTCCCACAACTATATCCTGCAGTTAAAAGGAGCAGGTGAACTGAGCCTGACCTGTGTGATAAGTTGAATAACTTGAATCCCTCCCCAGTCTTCTGATATCCAACAGCCCACGATATTGTTGGTCATGCACGTGCATCATCAGGCGTGTAAGGAAATGCTGATAACCACCTATGATCATGTTAACTATGATTTAGTTGGACGGATTACGTTGGAAACACTTATCAGGTTGTTTCCTTTGCGCAGCAAGAAGTTGAAGAGGGCACCACAAAAGAAATCAAAGAGAAGTTCAGTTTCCCCTGCTGAACTCTGAAGTCTCTATTGCTTCTCTAGTTGCAGTTTTTATTTCTTTTTTTTTTTCCCTTTGATAATTGAGTGTAGGGAGGAGACATCAGGCTTCCCCCAGCCAGCAATTTTGCAGATGGGATTTAACACCATGGGCTCTGTCTTCAATAGCACCAAGGGGATCAATATGAAGAAAGTCAGGCCACTTCCAGGATTGGGGTAGGGAGGTGCAAAAACAGCTCCAGGAGCCAAACAGGTTCTTCCAAATGAACTTGGGGCCTTTGGGGTGACGCCTCTTAAGCCCTTGGGTATTTAAAGGACATGCAGCCAGATGCTAGGTCATGTGACTCTATGATTAGATACAAAACCTTTCCCTTTTCCCACCATAATCACTGACACTGACTTAATGTTGATGCAGCATTAGTTTTGATGGATCTATGGGCTTGAACTAGGATATAATTATGACAGGAGAAAAAGCTTCAATGGTTTTTTTTCTCTGTAAGACAGAATCTCACTCCGTGCCCACTTAGGAAAGCTGACTGCTATTCTAAGAAGATACAGATGATCTGCTTGATCACGCACAGAGCATGCAGGGCTCCGATGATGATGGAGCATAAAGGGTCTTTCTGATGCCTAAGGATGAGCTTAGTTTCCTGGAAGATTCCCACCCATGTGACATGATTTATTAGCCCTGGCATTGGCCAGTCTTTTGGGTCAAAAAGTACAAAGAGTAGGAGAAGCAAAGGTCTGGGGGAAATGGACCTTGGAGGGTTAGAGGATGAGAGCAGTACCCTCTCTTCAGCTGGGAGGGACTAAGGATGTGAGATATGGCATTAGGAACTTCAGATAGACTGGTGCATCCTTCCCTAAAGGAAAAGAGCAGCAATTCTCAAACGAAAGGGCAGTCAGGAACCTTTAGGCTGCGTCTTTGTTGGTTCAGCATTCTCCATTTCCTTTCCTGAATTGGAAAGAATATTCCAGTAGTTTAATTAAAGTCATTGGGACAGGATGCTATACTTTTCATCAGGGAAAAGGTCTCCTGGCCCTTTTAGATCATTGCATAGACGTGCAACTTCCCTTTTTCACCATCTTTAGCGGAGGAAATACATTCCGTGGTACCTGGTGCCTCTTATATACTTTATATAGAAGGAATTCTTTATAATTCTAAAAAAAAATTAAACCACGTACAAACCACAGAGGATCCTAGGCATGTTAGGGTCTAACCCTGGTTGTTTTCATGTTTTTAGCACATTGGAAACAACGTTCGATACCAACGTCACCACAGAGATAAGTGGCCGTAGCATTCTCAGCTTGACGGGGAGGCCCACCCCTCTGTCCTGGAGACTTGGCCAGTCCAGTCCTCGGCTTCAGGCAGGAGACGCCCCCTCCATGGGCAACGGGTACCCACCTCGAGCCAACGCCAGCCGGTTCATCAGCACCGAGTCAGGCCGCTATGTGTACTCCGCCCCCCTGAGGAGGCAGCTGGCCTCCAGGGGCAGCAGCATCTGCCACGTGGATGTGTCAGACAAGGCAGGAGATGAGGTGGACCTGGAGGGCATCAGCATGGATGCCCCTGGCTACATGAGTGATGGAGACGTCCTCAGCAAGAACATCCGAGCTGATGATATCACCAGCGGGTGAGTGAGTGCCTGGGCTCCTGTCTGTCGTTTAGCCAAGCGGGAGAAGCCTTGGCCCCTGCTTTCCCTTTTGCACAGCCTTTACTTCAGTTTGGAGCAGATCACTCTGGCTGCCTCAGTTTCTGCCGTCTGTGTTGGAGGCTGCGTGGCGTGGCAGGGACACTGCTGGGCTGAGTCAGAACACCTGGGTTGACAGGTTTGGCTGGTAACTCTCAAGTCCCCACCAGCTGCCAGAGTGACACTGGAAAACAAACCTGCCACCTCGGTCCCTTAAACAAACCTTGCACTGAGCTGCGTCCCCACCTTTTAGGACGGCCTACCCAGTCCTGAGGGACCTGGCCCTACCTGCTTCTCCAACCTAATCAGTCTTCCCCCACCTTGCTCTCTCCCTGCTGCAGCTCCTTCCATTCTTCCATCTTCCAAAAAAACAGCCTTTGCACTCATTTCTGGTCCTGGATTCTGCTTCCAGAACTCTACATAGCTAGTTTCCACTTGCTGCTCAGTTGACACCTCTGTGAACGGGCCCTTTTTGACCGCTTAGTTTGAAGTAGTTTGTGTCCTGCCCCTGCGCCAGTTACCTCTGTCACCCTGTGTTGGGTGCTAACCTTATTGTTTCCCTGCCCTCTGGTACTTGCAACCTGTTGCACCATGAAGCTGGAGTATTGCCTTGCTTCTTCATCACGGAATCACTTCTGCAATGACACAATAGGAGCTTATAAATAAAGCTGAATTAATGAGCCCAAGGGCCGGTGAACGAAGGAACAAACCCTAACCGCCTGTTTCTTGATCGGTTCATGTGTAAAGTTAAGGATAGTGATGAGAGATTACTAAGGACCTTTTAGATGAGCGTGTCACGGCTTTGTGTAGATGAGGCCTGGCTTCCTGTTTGTAGCTTCACTTTGAGATCACTGCACAAATAAGGTGTGTTTCTTTATCTCACTTGACTGAGACTTCTTAATTTATCAACGGGACTTGTCCAAAAGTTCTCCAAGGTCTTTTCCACCTCTAAATGGTTCTAGTGATGAAAATTACATATAAGGAAAATCAGGAATAGAATAATCATGCCACTCATTTCCATGAAAATGATAGTCAGGAACCCCCTGGGTGAGTCAGTATTTTCACAATTTTAATAATAGCCAACTCCCCTGTGATGTGCGGAGAAGGGTGCGGGTGCTCTACATGTATTATCTTGCTCTGTCCTCACAGCAGTCCTTTGAAGTGAATGATCTCATAATCCCCATTTTATAGATGAGGAAACTGAAGTTCAAGAAGGCAAGTCCAATAACTTGCCATGATTTTGCAGCTGTCAAGAGGCAGAGCCCATGGCCAGTGGCTCATCATTCTTAACCACATGGAACGCTCTTGCCTAGCACTGTACTGCTGCATTGAAATAGCACAACTGCTAGAGTTTATTTCAAAAATTTTTAAATTTTGCATAGCTCTGTCTGTATGACTAAAATTGTTCTTTTATCTAATTAGAAGCATAGGCATAGCAGTTGTGCTAATCAACTTTCCATTGCTGTGACAAACTACCTGAGATAAGTCAACTTAAAGGAGGAAAGATTTATTTTGGCTTATGGTTTCAGAGATGTGGTCCAAGATGACTTGGCTCCATTGTTTCCACTCCTGTGGTGAAGCAGAACAGCATGGTGGGGAGCATGTGGTGGAGCAAAGCTGCTCACCTTATGGCAGCCAGGAAGAAAAGAGGGAGAAAGAGGCCAGCGACTAGATATTCCCTCCAAGAACACACCTCATTGACTTACTTCCTCCATGTAGGCCCTGCCCCCAGAAGTCTCCACCACCTGCCAATAGCACCACCAGCTGGGGACCAAGGCTTCAACACCAGAGCCTTAGGGCTACATTCCAGACATTCCAAGCTGTAACTGAGGTGCTTTCCTTTGTAGTAGTAAAAATCTTTGAAAATGAAAGCCACCAGACTCTTAATGATTTAACAAATTTCTGCTATCTGGAACTGCTGGGAAAGCTGATGCACTGATAAATTAAGTGATCTGGTCAACTTAGAGCATATTTTGCATTCCTAATTTTCCATAAATGTGAAGAATAGTAATATACACCTGTTCATAAAAGTGAATTGCACACAATTTAATCTTTTATAATTGTTTGGAAGACTTTTGGTATCTAGCATAACCCCAAATTTTATCATTATTAATTCTCAATTCACTCTACTACTGTAAAATCCTAATTACTTTGACTCCTTTGAATACTGTAACAAAGACCTCATTTTATTGCTGGACCAGTCTTTTAATCCTAACTGGTCAGTGAATTAATTTTGATGTAGTTTTGGCACTGTCCACAAGGTGGAGACATTGGGACACTCCAAACTCTTAGTGGTGTCACAGGGAGAAACTCCTGGTTTCCCTGGCCACCCACACCAGAGCCTTCCCCTTGCTACAAAAGCCCAAGTGTTTACATTTCAGTTCCTGCTTTGCAAAGCTTACATTTTTAGCATGTGAGATAGTGCTTAGAGCAGGCCTAGATAAAAGTGCAGAAATGTAAGCAAACTACCCAATTACTGAAATCTGAGAACTTTGGTCTGGTTTTTCTTCTCTTGCTCCTTTTACTGCAGGAATTTACCTTCAAAATAAGGATAGCCCAGATGACACTTAATGCTCCTTCTGCTAGTATCATTCTAGGACACTTGTTAAGCATGTGTGCATCTGTGAGTGTACTGGGGAAAGTCAGCTTTTGCCTTTACATGCTGGGCTCAAGGCAAGTCACTTCGTGTCTTTCCTATTGATGTCTTTTTCTGTACATAGACACGACAAGGTTGTAAGCATCAAAAAGCTGGTCACTTGTTCTGTTCTTCAGAATCTGATGTCAGTCGTTGGTGAGGCCATTGATGGAATCGGGGAAAAACAAACTGAGCCCTGTGACATTAGGCATGTCATTTAATTTCCTTAAGCCTTAAAGCACTAAATGTGAGGGTTTTTTTTTTTAATTTAAATTTTGATTTTATTATATTTCTGGTGTTGGGGATTGAACTTATCTATTGCTGAACTATATCCCCAGTCCTTAATAAATTTTGAGACAGTATCTCACTAAGTTGCCCAGGCCTGCCTCCGCCTCCTGAGTAACTGGGATTCCAGGTGTGTGCCACCATACCAGGTGTAAACATGGATCTAACCTTCTATAGTTAGACTTCTTCCTGAGGTTGTGTCATATAAATGACAAATATCTAATGAAGACACAAAATTTCAGCCAGGATCTAGCTATCATACCCAAGTATCCAGACACTTGGCAACAATGAAATGATGAAAATTTACATCTTAGGTATTTGGCTTAATGGAAACTTAGCCTTGATATATGAGTAATAGTGGATCGATCAGTGCCAAGTCTTCTTTGAGGAACGTTCTTGCAAAAGTTGGCCACAAGTGCATTCAGAAAAACTCTAGTTGTTTTTAAAAATGACACTGTACCTTGGCTCAGTGTAGCAGCTACCTCTTGACATCTCTAGCTTATGTTCTTCACCGGGGTGCATCCTTCAGTGCTGGCTAAGGAAGGACAGAAGTTACTTTATCACCATGGAGTTTAGCTAAGTACTTGATGGCAAATGCCTCTTTGTCTTTGTATGTATATGTTTATCAAACCCCTGTATTGCACTTAAGTTAATGCCAGGCATGTCTAAATACTTTATAAGCTATCATCTGATCTCACCCTCCTTTTATTAGATTGATAAGTTGGGTATTGGCTGTGTTGGAAAAGGAATTAAAATGACAGATGAAGATGTCTCTTATTAAGTTCTAATCTCAAGTCAATTCTCTACTCACATTCTAAAAATTCAGAGTGCCACATGCTACATAATAAAATTAAAGGGACAGACTTCACGTCCATATGTTTCGAAAGGTTTTATTTGCCAAGAGAGCACTGAGTTGCATAGTCTTCCAAAGTATAAATATGTATCACTTCATGGGGGATAAAAATGACCATTTGAACTTAACATCTGAAATTTTCTGCCAATAAGAACCTTTAAGGGGCTTCCCAGAGCCTTTGGGAACAAACCTGGACTCCATAACTGAACATGGGAGGCTCTTAGTGGCCTCTGCCTTCCCTTGGTTGCTCCTGGCCACACCAGGAGATCATATCTACCTCAAGTATCAGACACTTGGAAACACCCCAGGGCTCTGTCCTTCTCACTGCTGTAGGGCACTGCCCTCAGCAGAGGCTGTCTCCAGCATTTGCAAAGCTCTGTGCCTGCTTTCTGCCTGGGATTCTTTTCCCCAGGAGCCCATGTGACTGAGCCCAAAAAAACACCTCTCCTGCAATGTCCCCCAGACTCCCTCAGTCAGAGTTAGCTGTGTCTTGTGTGTTTCTGATGGCTTTGGTTCTTTCCTAGACGGTGTGTAAGCTTTTCACTTTGCATGTGAAGTGTTCGAGGAGGACTGGCTGGTGGCCATAGTTTTAAGGGACTTGAGATTTAATCCTGGCTCTGCCAGGTGAACTGGAACAACTTCTTAATCTTTGAAAACTGGAGGTAGAGAACTTAGTTAGCCCCTGACAAAGAGTCCAACATGCTCAAGAAACATGTATGTGTCTCTGTCTGTCTGTTCTCCATTAAACTCGGAGCTCCCAGAAGGTAGACAGTGCCTGTTAATTTTCTAAGCCCAGAGAGCAGAACCTAGTAGGTATTGCCTATTCTTGGTGTCTAGCCCAGCAGGACCTTGGACTTATATAACTTGTCACCACCAGCTGTGGAAGTCCATGGTTCTGTTTGTAGAACACTTGGAGGAAAGCTGCATATCCCGTGCGTCCATCTCACAGCCAGCGTAGGGTGCAGTGCTGTGCTGTCTGCTGGTTTGTAACATTAGCCACCATGATATTGGGTTGAGACTCCCTGCTAGTGACATCCAGGGCCGAGGAAGCTGCATTTCAAATGTGGCCTGACATTGTGGACGGGGAAGAGGGTTATGAGCACTCTGGTCTTCAGCGGTGACTTGGTGGCAGGGGTTACTCCATCAGCAGATGTGATCACAGACTCAAGC